GAGTCACAGAATCCTGTATGCTTTTCCAAAGGGCTGTGCTGTTGTTTAGTCACCAAGTCTCGTCCAAGTCTTCTGCGACCCCGTGGACTGTAGCCCACCATGGTCCTCTGTCCAAGGGATTTCCCAGGCAAGAATCCCAGAGTGTGTTGCCATTTTTTTTCTCCAGGGAATCTTCCTGACCCAGGGATCAAGCCTGCATCTCCTGCATTGTGGGCTGATTGGTAACCTCTGAGCCACTTGGAAAGCCCTTTCAAAGGGCTGCTCGTGGCTGGCTGGCTGCTCTAACTCTCTCCCAGCTCAGCTGTGTGATCATTAACAAGCAGATTCTCACATCCTGGTTCACTCACCAGATTTGTCCTAGGAATGTCCTGTGTGTCCCTGAAGTCAGAGACCTGACTGAGAGAGCATCCCAAGTGCTCCAGCCCCACCGTGTCTGTGAGCGGCCCTCCTTGTGTCCCCTACGGATAGGTCCAGTCCTCTGCTGGGGCCCACGTGTCCTCATCGGCGCAGCGTGGAGACGGTGCAGTGTCCGCTGCAACCGAGCAAACTAACATGAACAAATACAGTCCTTTGACTTTCAGTTGCTTATTTCCTAATCCTCCTTACAGAAATAGAAGACATTTTTCTGACTTAAAAATTGCTTATCTAACATGAGAAAATTAGTTGAAATGATCCTTGAAGCTCTTTTCAGTCTTAACGTTCTATGAAGAAGTGACTTTCAGATATCTGATTATTTGAGTTATGGGCTGAAATACGCCTTCGTTTGATTTCCCGTTACGCCTTCCTCCCAGATTTGTGGGAACACAGTGTGCTCCATGGTAAAAGAAAAATGAAGCTGAATAATTTTTAGAATGACATCTAACCAGGAATATACAGAATTTTTTAAAAAGATAATCATCAGATTATGAAAAATGTTTGTAATGCCTTTTTAAAAATCAAGAATTAATACACAGCTTAGGATCCAGTTTAATTACTGACGTTTTTATTAAATCCTCATAGGCTCTCAATAACGGCTTCACTTCTCTCACAACTATATTCTCTCAGTGGAAATCAAGGCTATTTCAACTTTATTTTAAATTGTTTTAATGAGGTAGTGCACTTGTGCCTTATACTCTGTAAACCAGAATCTGAGCATTTTTAAATTGACATTGGTGAGTAGCAGTTGACATTTGGTTACTTTCTAAGTTGGACTTTATACTTACCTGAGGGTACAGATTTTCAGACTTGATGCTAACCTATTGTTTGTACACATGTAGATGATCTTTGCGTTAGTGTGTTATGATCCAACTTCACATGACATTTAATTAACAAGCTTCTTAAGAGAAAGAAGAAAGCTTTTCATTTCATGCTTTAAATGCATTTTAAATAAACAGCATTGTGAAATCACATGCTTGGTGCTCATCAGGGTGGTAGAGAGCTCCAGTGAGACATCCTGGATAAAAGACGTGGATTGCAGTGAACACAGGGGAGAGTAATGTGTTTTTAGGCATTATTTCCACCCTTCATTTGTTTGAGAAAATAGCTAGTAATTATTAGGTGTCATAGAGCATTTTCTTTTTTTATAGAAAATTTCTTGATTGAATTTATCTTGCTCTCTTTTCTCATTTAGTTTGCATAGCCAAGAGTCCTTAGGTTTGAAATGGTTTGATTACGATAATTTTTCCTTTTTTTCTTCTTTCCCAATGCCATCATTAAACACCATCTTCAACTTTAAGCCGTGAAAAATAAAGATGTCAGAATGAGCTCTGCAGAATAAAGTCTCTTCTTTTTATTCAGTTGTCAGCTCTAACTTTTCCAGTCTACCCTGCATTTTCATTTTGTTTGGACTTGGAGCTACATTCTCTAGTAGGAATTCAGAATGCCAAACGTGTTTTGTTTGTATTTTGTGCTTTTTTTTAAATGATAAAATGATATTACCATTAACTAAAAGAGTGGAAGCCCATGTTAGACTTAAAATTCCTAGACTTTGGTTTCATCCTAGTTAAATAGAGCTTATCTTCCACTTCTGTCCTGTGCAGTATTTTCCTTCCAGTATTAGGGACCTTACGGTTTAGGAAACTGCCTGAGAATAGGGTCCTCTTCAGAAACCATGGTGCAATTCTCCCAAGTTGATAATTACTGTTCGCCTCTATTTACAGCAGTAATAAATGTTCATTTTAAAACTCTTAGCACTTTTAGAGTGTTCCAGGAACATCATCCTTTAAGCTTGGTTTTAAGCTTGAAGAATGAGGTCAGAGAGAATATGCTCCAGGAATATGTACAGTTGCTCCAAAGGTCCAAGTCACCCAGTGCTAATTGCTAAGGGTTGGTCGTTCTTTTCCTATTCATCCGCAGCAGTATGTCGGGCATTGTGATATAGATAGGACCTGCACTGCCAAGAGTAGAGTTTAACCCTGAAGACCGCAAGTTTGAGCTGCGCAGTTTCCGTTGCTGGCGGATTTTTCAGCCGGGAGCACTACGTGCCACGTGATTCATGGGAGACTGAATTCGCTAACACGGAACCATGGACACAGAGGGGCGGAAGATGGGAAGGAACTGCATAAACGGGAGGCAGACGATAGGTCTTGTGTGGATATTCAGCTCCCCCCCGCTACACAACGTTCCAGGGTCGCCTGCAGATGTGGTCATTCCAGGGGACGCCTCCAGGACGAGAAAGGACAAAGGCCAGTGGCAGAGCGGACGCTTGGTGGACAGGCGGGCGAGGAGGTGCCGGAGCCATGGTCAGAGACGGGGAGAGGTACCGGAGAGAAGTGCGAGGGGAAGCCGTGAAGAATTTCAGGAGAACTGCTGACTTCCTTGGTTGCTGTGAGTTGAAAGCTGTAAAGACTATAGAACTTTGCAGTCAGGAGGTCATTGCTGACCTTTGCTAGAGCAGATTCAGTGAAGTGTGGAAATGGACTCCAGGCTCCAGTGGGTTAAAGTGTAAACTGGAAATTAATGTATAAAAATAGTTCATGTGGACTCCTGACTAGCTGTATATAAAGGAAAAAGAGAGGTGATGGCTAGAGGAGGAAGTGATATTCAGGAAGGACTATTACTTTACAAATATAAGAGAGACCCTGAGGGGTGTGTATAGGCCGTGGGAGGAAGCCCATAGACAAACAAGGATTTCAAATATAGTGGAAAGATAATAACCGGAGAAATAAGATCCTAGGAGGGGTTTAGTGGAGGCTGATCTGGAGTACAGGATCAACCCTAAGCATGATTCCTCTGTGTAAAGAGGAAAGACGATAAAGGTGGTTACGAATGTGCGTTTACAGGGTATGTAAGCAGAAAGTTTGATACTCACAAGTTTGTCCTTATAAAATACAAGTTCAAGCTATATGCTACTAAAAATTATTATCAGGAGCTATATCAAGTAACATCTAAGTGCTTACTATCCACTTTGAACATTATTTAAAGTTTAAAAAATAGGGTCTCATGGAATTTCATCCTACAGCTCTATGAAGAAGATATCGCTCCTTCTCAAAGAAAATGAAACTTAATGAGTGAATTAATTAATCTAAGATCATGGAAACGTTGAAGAAGTGGGTCCGGCTCCAGGCACCTACCTGTGCTCTTAACCTCCGGTGTGGTGGGACAGGCGTCCTGAAGAGAAGGGGGGGACCTTGGGCAGAGCGGAGCAGAGAGGTTACCGTGGACAGAAAAGCCTTGGCTGTGGGCACTGGGTGTGGTTACTGTTGACGTCAGTTCTTAATCTCCGAGGCTTAATAAAACAGCGTTGTGGCGATCTTAAAGTAGTGATTTTGTCACTTGGTGTTATAAACTGCGATTTTCCTGTTGGTATGAACTGAGTGTCTTAGGTTCTTCCCCCGAGGCCTCAGCGCTATCACGGACATCAGCAGCTGTCTCTTTCTGACTCGCTTTGAACTGATGGCAAGAGTACCTCTGGATAGCTTGATTTGTGCTGGGGCCACGGGGAAGGGAGGAAGAGATATGGGAGAGGATAATGATTTTTTTGAAAGTTTGTAAAATGAAACTGTGATAATAGAATAGACCAAGTCTTCCTTTTACTACTAAAAGGCTTTTGCTACTAATTAGAAGGTGAGGAGTATGTGTTCTTTATAGAAGAAGTGCACATTTATAGCAGCATGTTTGATATTATAAAATATGGGAAGAGGAGAGAGGAACTTAATAGTAAAAAATGTCTCCTGTAACTGTAATGTCTACTATACTTACATTGGTTTTCAGGTCTTTTTTATTCTTATGGACCCATGGAAACGACTAGATATAATAATAATAGAAAAATAATAACATCACATTTTCCTACTAGTTTGGATTTTTTTTTTTTTAGTTATGTTTAGGGGGAAGCTATACAAAAAGAACCTTTGTAAATTCTATGAATTGTGTATGGATCATGCTCAAAGATAAAATTGCATCTATCCATGACACCCTCCTTTTTAATGTAACGTTACTCATTTTTCAAATTTATGACAATAGAACAAATCTTTCTCCTGACTTAAGATTAAGCTGATTTTTCCTCTTTTCTTTCAGAGTACAGCTGGAGAAATTATTTCACTTTACCGTTCATTTTTTCCTTCATATTATTAGCCTCAAAAGAAAGTAGCAGGAAAATGTGGAGACTTTAGAGCAGACAGTGGCCCAGTTTTCACCGTCAGTTCACTTCTGATGGGTGTCCATTTGTCTCTGAAACCAAATCACCCTATGAGACCTCGCTTCATTTCAAATCACTGTAAAACGTGTATGAGAGATATTTTATCATTGACCTTCCTTAGCTCTTTATTATTATATATCAGCTTTTGCAAAAGTGAGCCTTTGGTATAATGTGTATTTTCTCATTCTGAGAATGCTTTTCAAAGAACAGGATGTTTGGTGACATTAATGAAGTAGCACGGAGTTGTTTTTACCTGCCATTCACTTCAGTTTTTTCATGCACCTTCACGGACTTTCCAAACTTTTTCTTGTAGTTAATCGGTTTTAAAAAGAGAAGAGAAGATGAAGTCTGAACATGTCTTTGCTTTCTTCATATCCGCCTACAGGATGAATATAAGCCAGAGAAGGCCCTGTCAGAGGAGGACCTGAAAAACGCCGTGAGCGTGCACCACGCGCTGGCGTCCCAGGCCACCGACTATGAGAAGAAGCCCAACGTGCTCAAGCTGAAGACGGCTGACTGGAGGGTCTTGCTTTTTCAAGCCCAGTAGGTTTCATTGGTTGGTTTGGTTTGGGTTTTTAGTTTGCAGAGCACCACTTTACACCAAGAAAGAGAATTGGGATCTACAGGGCACACTTGCTGAGTCAAAGTCATCAACTGGCTACAATAGAGAGACAACAATCTAAGGAAACTAGACTAAGAAATGGAAACCCTGGGGCAAGCTTTCTGCTTCCTTGGAGTCGCCCTGTGACCCTCCGTCAGCCCCTTACCAGCTCCGGAATGTAACATCCTCATAAAGGAGACCAGGGGTTTAGTGCAAGTCCTGTCACACAGAGAGTCAGGAGACCAGGACTCAGGTGCCCGACCGTCGCCTAACTCGTTGTCGTGGCCCGCAGTTTAACTTCTGTGAGCCTCAGCGTGTCCCTAGCGTCTGTCTCACAGAGTGCTGTGAGAAGCGCGCGAGATCAGGTATGCCCAGAGCCTCGACACAGTGCCTGGCGCACAGAGGCCGTGAGTACGTGCGGATTGCATTCCCTTCTCTCTCTCCTCACTCCTTCTGAGCTCTAAGAGTGTGTGATTGAACTAGAAGGAAAAGATAAAATCATACTGTGGGCATGGAAGCAGGGTGGGTTGCCTGTGTAGTAAGGAGTCCGTGACAGGCTTCAGATGAGGGCTGGAACACTCCACGTGGAGAATCCTGGAGTTGTGAAGTGAGAAACTTTGGGGTTTTAGAACTGAGCCTCTGGAAGAGGCCGTTCAGCCACACACGTCGCATCGGTGTCCGTGGCAGGCACTGTTAATTATTCACGGCGCGCCTTTGACAGCCTGAGCTTGACCTCAGAACCACTCTCAACCCAGGCCTGCCCGGTGACCGCAGCTGGCACTGGCATGACATTTGACGTCAAGATAGAAACATGGCTGTCTGCATGCTTATTGATGAAAACAGTGGAAGATGAGAAAGGGGAATGAGAGCAAGAACAGGTTCTCTGGCAGTCTGTGGATGCTGAGCTTGCAAAGGTGTAAAACTGCTGACATCCGGTGAGGAGGAAGTTGTAAGGAAACCCAAGTTACATAGGATATTTTTAGTGTGGGAGTAAGACAGTTAACACCCAAGGGAACCACAGCCAGATGCATAATTACGGCTATTAGTCATAAAAGTCCTTCAAATTATTCTGTTCCCCAGCATTATTGTTTTTAAATGTCTAAAAGTGCTGGATATGATAACTCAGGAGATCTGGTTACTCCAAATATAACTGATGCAGAATTGAGTCCGGTGACAGAGAAGCGTGTGGGGCACAGTGAGGGATACCCCGGTGTGCTGTCAGCTCACAGCATGATTGCTTTCAGGGGAATCATGCAGAAAGGGGTTTTTAGACGGGCTGACTTTTTGTCCATCTTTGTATTGATTGTATAGCTGGTGGGTATCTCACCTAGTTCGGATCTGTTTCTTCCATTCGTTCATGAGTTCACAAGCGCTGTCAGCGCCGGGCTCCACAAACATGACGTACAAGTTCACGGTGTGATGCTGACCTCAGGAGATTTCCACACCCTCTCAGGTGGATATGTTTGTATCCTATCGAGCTGCACCTCACATACTTCTAAGTTCACAGTGACGTTTAGTGAATTTGCAGAATCGTGCAACCCTGTCCAGCTTTAGAACACTTCCATCACCCTACAGAGACTGAGCCCCTGTGCCATTCTTATCCCTGGCCCGGACACCACTGGTCTCCTCTTTGTATGCCCTTTTCTGGATTTTCCATATACCTGCAGGCATAGAGTATGTGGGCTTTTCTGTTACCCTGCATAAAGGTCTGGGTCGTCCAGACTGTGGCCTGTCGCCGCTCTCCACACCTCTGCTGCTGGGAGATGATGCTCGTAAGGATACAGGCTTCACTGTGTTCATTCCTTCACCAGGTGGTGGATATTTAGAGTGTTTCTCCTTTTTGACGCTTATAAAGAATGCTCCTGTGAATATGCACATAAAAGTCTCTTAGTGCCTATGTGTTTTTATTTCCCTTGAGTAAATATATATCTGGGAGTAGAATTGCTGATAAATTTGTAGTTAATTTAGCAAGAAATTGTATTACTTTCCAAAGTGGGTGTATATACCTCTTTATATTCCCTCTATCAGTTTATCCCTCAGTTGCATTTTAAAATCAAATTATGTGATTAGAACAGATGAGTTAATTTTTAAATTAATTTCAGACTAGCCTAGTATCAGCATCAAATAGAAAGTCGGAGGTTTAATGAATACTTACTGTGGGGTGATTTTGCTTTGTTTCCTCTATATCCTCGGGGGGCAGTCACAGTCCTACTCTGTGATGATCATAGGTTCCAGGGCCTTTCGTTGCCATGGCGAGTGCTGTGGAAAATGTTCCTCTCCAGTGAAGTTTTGCCAGGGATTATTTGTTCCAAGAAATGAATGATTTTATATGTCATTTTAGATCAATAGTGAGAAATGGGCGGGATGTCATGCACTTAGGTGTGGAAATACCCTGACATAAATGTACCTGTGTCTCCTAGGAGTCCGGAGGAAATGCAGGGATGGATAAACAAGATTAACTGTGTCGCCGCTGTGTTTTCGGCACCACCGTTTCCAGCAGCCATTGGGTCTCAGAAGAAGTTTAGTCGCCCACTGCTGCCTGCCACCACGACAAAATTGTCTCAGGTAAGGCATTTTGGTCTTTACACTTTCTCCTTTCACACTTTGTAAAGTAGTCTTACTGTTTGTATTTGAATAAATGCCCCATATTCTGGGGGCAAGGATGAGACACCTCGCCCCGAAGGGCCTTGTTGTCAGGGGGGCAGAACGCAGTGTGACTGTGGCCCCTACACTTCGTGTGGGGAGCAGACACAACGGACTCGAGATGGGGTGGACACACAATTTTGAATTCGTTTCTAAAATTAGTTCACTACTCAGTTACACCAGCCTCACTTTTATTTTTGTTTTTTTTTTTTTTTTTTGTTTTTCCTAACAGTTCATGTTTTTTAAATACCTGGCTAATGGTAGATGTCCTGCCTTGGAAACCAGCTTTTTATTCTTTCATTCATTGAACTTTTCATTTTATTGAGCTTTTCCAATATCCCAGACTGTGTGTGATGCTGGAAGCATTCCCAGGGGCCCACTTTGACAGTGCAGCGAGGCAGGACCCTCCCCACCCTCGGGACAACCTGAGTGGACCTGGGTGGTTTTCCCAGAGAATGCAGACAGAGCCTGTGAGAACTCTCTTCGGGGCTGTTCACTTGAGCTGCTCTCCTTTTACCAGGTCGATGTTTCTGCAGGTCACATTTTATGGCGCTCCTTTCCTGCTTACGACTCTGTTCTAAGGACACTGCATGCAAGCCGTGTCTACCAGTTTTAAGCCTGTCTGCAGGGCTGCTATTCCCACTGACTCGTTAAGGGTTTTGGAAGCTACTCTGACGGCTTTGTGAATTTCTTATCGGCGCAATAATAGAGGTTCATCTGGCTGTGATCAACCAGGTCTTGATATTAACTCGCTCCTCTACACAGCCGATATCATGGTTATCAACAGAACATTTATTAATATGTACATATCATGTGCCTGTTGTACCTCAGAGACTATTTTTGGCTCTGGAAATAGAAAGACAAGTGAAACCCAGGCAGTCTCCAGAATCCAATTGGTAAATATAAACAAGCAAGGAATTGTAACACAGTTTGATCAGAGGCACATGTAGGCTAAGTCCAGAGGACCGTGCAGGCTCCAGACAGGGCCTTGCCTTGGGGGTGAGGGAGACGCTTACAGGCTGGGCGGCAGGAGGGGTGTGGGAAAGCGGGCCGCCCAGCAGAGTGAGGCCAGGAGGGAGAGGAGGCGGCGCTGATGTCGGAGCCACGCATACCTCATCGGGTGCGACTCGAGTACACGTGTTGTGAAAGGCGGGAAACATCCCTCTGTGGAGCTGTGTGTGTGTGTGCACACGCTAAGTCGCTTCAGTCGTGGGTCTGACTCTGCAGCACCATGGACTGTAGCCCACCAGGTTCCTCTGTGCATGGCGGTCTCCAGGCGAGAACACTGGAGTGGGTTGCCATGCCCTCCTCCAGGGGATCTTCCCGACCCAGGGATCAAACCCCCACCTCTTTTTTTTTTAATTAATTAACTTATTTTAACTGGAGGCTAATTACTTTACAATATTGTGGTGGTTTTTGCCATGCATTGACATGAATCAGCCATGGGTGTACGTGTGTTCCCCATCCTGAACCCCCCCTCCCACCTCCCTCCCCATCCCATCCTGCTGGGTCATCCCAGTGCACCAGCCCCGAGCACCCTATCTCATGCATCGAACCTGGACTGGCGAGCTGTTTCACATATGGTAATATACATGTTTCAATGTTATTCTCTCAAATCATCCCACCCTCGCCTTCTCCCATAGAGTCCAAAGTCTGTTCTATACATCTGTGTCTCTGTTGCTGTCTCTCATATAGGGTCATCATTACCATCTTTCTAAATTCCATATACATGCGTTTATATACTGTATTGGTGTTTTTCTCTCTGACTTACTTCACTCCGTGTAAACCCCCACCTCTTGTGCCTCCTGCACTGTAGGCAGATTCTTCTACCTGCTGAGACACCAGGGAAACCTCTGCATCTGGTGCTGAGCAAAGGCCAAATGGTGAAAGGTCTCATTTTGTCACCTGGAGGATTTTGGATGCCTCACCAGTCCCCAGCATCCTTAGGAAAGTAGTCTAAGCAGGGAATTAACATGATCAAATCTGTGCTTCAAAAAAAAATTTTTTTTTACAATAGGAAGGAAGTATCAGAGGAGGAAACTACTATAAGCGAAAGGCGCTTTCAATAGAAAGAGGAAAAATGAGTGAGTTAAAGAGGAGATGGACAGACGTGGGAGGGTTTGGGACCTCCTGAGGGTCCTGTTTGCTCCGTGAAGTGAGGAACAGGGCTGTCCTTGGGCGTGGGCTCTGGACACTGTGGTGTCCCCTCTAGTTTTGGGTAACCCCTCATCTCCTGCTTCCCTCTTGATGCTTCTTTCCAGAGTCCTTTCCTGTGTCCTTTCTCTGTTTTTTCCTCCAGATGTTGCAAGGAGTGCTGAGAAGCAGAGCCAAACAGATACTTGAGGAACAATAGTTTTTGAGTTAGTCAAGGAAAACACAGGGAAAATGTTAGGCCAAGAGAAGGGGGAAAAGATCAGGTACAAACAAGACAAAAAAGATCTCCGGTGGCGTGGCAGGAGGTGCCTGGCTCCTGCGGCAAGAGCAGCCTCAGGGGTGCTGGTTGGCGCGGCCACGGTGGGCGCCCTCGGGGGGATGAAGGCAGTGAGCATGTGAGGAGGGACGTGTGGGGTCTGCCCAAGTGCGTAGAGACAGGCTGGCGAGGGAGCAGAGGAGACGTGGTAAGGAGAGTCAGGAGAGACTCTCGTTTCTGTAAATTCATCGTATTTATTGACATGGTTTGGTTGATGCTCCCCACGTAAGCACTGCTATTGCTATCTAGTTCATGGACTAACTACCAAAAAACTGTTAGGAATAGAGAGACCCAAACAGCTCACTTTACAAGCAAAATGGCATTTAACTTTCAAGGATAATAAATATTCTAAGAGAAAAGGAAGGCTTTACTGCTTATTGGCCAGACTTCTTCATCCACCCAACTAAAATACGAGCTCTCAAACCAAATGCATTTCTCCACTTTAATTTTGGGTACTTAACATAAACAGTAAGTCACATTACACAAGGTTCAGTTCAGTTCAGTTCAGTCACTCAGTCATGTCCGACTCTTTGCCACCCCATGGACTGCAGGACGCCAGGCTTCCCTGTCTATCACCAACTCCCGGAGCTTACTCAAACTCATGTCTATTGAGTCAGTGATGCCATCCAACCATCTCATCCTCTGTCATCCCCTTCTCCTGCCTTCAATCTTTCCCAGCATCAGGGTCTTTTCAAATCAGTCAGTTCTTCACATCAGGTGGCCAAAGTATTGGAGTTCAAGCTTCAGCATCAGTCCTTACAATGAATATTCAGGACTGATTTCCTTTAGGGTGGACTGATTGGATCTCCTTGCAGTCCAAGGGACTCTCAAGAGTCTTTTCCAACACCACAGTTCAAAAGCATCAATTCTTTGGCACTCAGTTTTCTTTATATTATTATATTATACAAGGTAAGAAGAGAGAAAAACAGTTGAACAACCTGAGGCAAAAATACTTTCAAAACTTGAGTTTTATTTTATTAATTTCACTAGGAGTTTTCCAGTTGGTCTTTCTCACCGTTGCTCCTATGAAAGATCTGGGGTAAAAGGTGATCTGAAGTTAAAGAGGAACATTAGTAACTTTAGAGCAACATGAGAGCTTTTCCTTGCTCTTTCCTCACTGTGGAACCTACGTTTCTATTTATTTTCTACTTGGAAAAATGTGAGCGAGTGAGTGAGTAAGTGAAAGTCGGTCAGTCATGTCTGACTCTTTGTGACCCCATGGACTGTAGCTCTCCAGGCTCCTCTATCGATGGAGATTCTCCAGGCAAGAACACTGAAGTGGGTGCCTGTTCCCTTCTCCAGGGGACTTTCCCAACCCAGAGAGCAAACCTAGGCCTCCCACATTGCAGGTGGATTCTTTACCCTCTGAGCCGCCGGGGGAAATGTGCTTCTGCCCTATTTGTGTATGGGCTATACATTGGTAGGGATTCCCAGGTGGTTCTAGTGTCAAGAACCCGCCTGCCAGTGCAGGAGACACAAGAGACGTGGGTTCAATCCCTGGGTCAGGAAGATTCCATCGAGGGCATGGAAACCCACTCCAGTGTCCTTGCCTGGAGAATCCCATGGACAGAGGAGCCTGGTGGGCTACAGTCCATGGCGTCTCAAAGAATCCGACACGACTAAAGTGACTATGTATGTACATACACTGATAAGTCACTTACATGTGAAAATGAGTGTGTTTATTTGTGTATTTTTACCACAAGACCCCACCACCTTTGTCATGGCAGAGTCTATCATTTTAAACAAATGCCCTACATAGGAATTTAAAATGAAATGCATAACATTTTTGATATTTTTCCTCGTTTTGAACACAGAAGTGTGAAAAATACATATGTAAAGTGATCAAAATGGTGAGTTCACGATTTTAAACAAGCAAGTACTGGCCACCCAGCAACACGCATCCTCTGTGTCACGTAAGATGACCAAAGCCTTTCAGCAGCTTAATTTCTTTAAAAAAAAATACGATTATGCCTCCCCCCCTCCCCCACCACCACCCAGACAAGTGAGTTACTGAGACTTTGTGGGCCTCAGTTTTCCTTCTGGAAAATGAAGAGATTGTCTAGAATGTTTTTTAAGATTCTTTCTATCACTGGCTCTGTATATTTTTTGCCCAGGTCATCGTGTTTGTTTATTACCTATGGAAAATGTGCCTTGCCCTTGAGAATAATAGGAGAAATGGAAACAAATATGTGGAAGCCAGCTCGTGATAAAAAGCCGGTTAGAGAGGGGGAGGGCACTGGTGTGCAGACCGTCTGCTCCAGGTGCCTGGGCACCTTCGGCTTTGCTGAGTCACCGTCACCTTCGGCAAACCCGGGAGGCCTGTCTGGATGCCCCGCAGGCCTCCGCACCTTCAAGGTGGGGCTCCCCCTTCACCCCGGGCGGGTTCTCGGTCTCAGCCCTGCCGCCCTGGGCCCTGAGTGGTGTGTTGTTGTGAATCGCAGGGTCTGAGCAG